AGACTTAATCCCAACTCATTTAGATTAAATGAATTTATTCTTACTGCTAGAAGGATGTCGGCCTTAGAGCCAAACAGCATGCTGTGCCAAAAGGAAATAAAGGTGGGATTTATAAAAGTGGATAACAAGATATACAATACAATTATCTATGGAATTCATAACTAGGCAAGAAAATTGTTTACTTCCCCTAGTTGTTTCTCTTTTCCATTGTATAGCAACAAAAAGACCACTTCATCCCAGGGATAAGTAGGTTTACAAAAGCAGAAAGCAGGAACATCATTATCCTATTCTAATTAAATCTTCAGGCCTCTAGGGTCTCAAAGGCATTCCAGGGCAAAGAAAGGTCAATGGCCCTTAAGGGGTGCCTGCTATCATATTAAGTTTCTCTAGCTAACAGGGGGGTTCTGTGAATTATACAGGTCTGAGCACTCTGGGGGGACGTGTCACCAGAATAGAGCAGGCAATAACACAGTGCTACCAAGTTAGGACTGACTTTCATATCCCCCCCCCCAATATCTGTGACTTTATTCTGTGGATCCCAGAACACTGGTACCTCTTATGATAGCAGTTTTCAACCTGTTGGTCACAACCCCTTGGGGGTTGAATGACCCTTTCACAGGGGTCAACTAAAGTCGTCAGAAAACACAGATACTTACGTTACAGTTCATAACAGTAGCAGAATTACAGTTATGAAGTAGCAACGAAAATAGTGTTGTGGTTGGGTGTCACCATAACATGAGGAACTAAAAGGGTTGCAGCATTAAGAAGGTTGAGAACCACTGTCTTAGGAGTAGAGAAATTATGAGAGTATTTTCAGTGTCATAATCACTAGGGACACTGCTCACTTGATGCCCCATAGTCCAACTCAATGAAGATTTGTTCTAGCCTCTCATAGTATATACCAATACTGAAAACCTTCACAAGATGTTAGAGGAAAGGCTTAGAAGATTGCTGTAGGCTTGGTTGCTGCATCACATACAGTCAGCAGTTTGCAGCAGCACACACTTAGCTCCTAGTTCTGTAAGTTAGAAGCTAGAGCCTGTGGGTTCTCTGGTCAGAGATTCACAAGACTGAAATCAAGGTGTCAGCATCAAGCATCAGGGAGGCTGGCAGATGTCCTGGGGTTCTTGTTTCCTGGCTAGCTGTTGGCTGGCGGCCATTCGTCACTCAGGGACTATTCCTTGCACACAGCCCCTCTAACCTCCAAGTATGCTATGCTGAATCCTTGTTCTTTGAGTGTCTCTGGCTTCCCTACTTCTACCTGCCACAGAAGACTCTTGTTTGCTTTCCAGTTCTGAGACTTAAACCCAAGGTCACATGCATGCTAGAAAAGTCTTAAAGTGTGCTTATGATTGAGTCCAGTCTACCCACACCATCTATGTACTTTAAAGTCAGTTGACTTACTGAGGTACGGTACGGTGGCCCATGCCTGTAGTCACAACCAGGGAGCTGAGGCAGGAGAGTTGCTACAAGTTTGAACCAAGAATCAGGCTGGCTATGTTGTGATTTCCAGGGCAGCTTGAGCTACAGAGTGAAATGTTATCTATAAATAAATAAACATTAAATAAATAGACATTTTAATTACATTTGCAAAATCTCTATCCTACAATATCTAGATCATTGTTTGGATAGACAGATAGTTGTAACCTTTAGAATCCTGTGTGCTAACACCATCAATTTGAAAGAAAAAGCTAGTATGAAATAAAGATACTACCTAAAAATAATTTGTTCCCTCTCACATTGTGTGGCACTCCTAGCCTGCATACTTAGCTGAGAAGTTTTCAGAGTGCTAGTGTTATTACTGAAAGATTAACAAGATAGCCCAGAAATATGAGGTAGGGGACTGAAGGTTGCTACTCAGACTTAAAGCATTAAATTAGTGAGGTAGTTCTGGCTAGGTGGTACACACCTTTAAACCCAACATGCAGGAGGATCTCTGTGAGTTCAAGGCCAATCTGATCTACATAGCAAGTTCCAGGCTAGTCAAGGATATATGGTGATACCCTGTCTTTAAAAAGAAAAAAGAAAAAAAGGTGGGAAGGATGCCTTCTTTAATATAGACTAATAATATTTCATGTTATTGTGTGATGATAAGAAATTTCAGGCTGAGCAGTGATAGCGCACACCTTTAATCACAGCACTTGGGAGGCAAAAGCAGCCAGATCTCTGTGAGTTTGAAGCCAGCCTAGTCTACAGATGAAGTTCCAGGACAGCCAAGGCTACACAGAGAAAGCTTGTCTCCAAAAACCAAAAAAACAAAAAAAGGAAAGAAAGGAAAAGAAAAAAGAAATTTCAGTTGTAAAATAGAAGTTGTATTTTGTGATCTCTTTGGTTGATTGTGTATGTGTATACATGGAAGCTGGAAACCAGAGAACACCTTAGGTATCCATCTTAGTGTGTTTTTTTTTTTTTTTTTTTTTTTTTTTTTTTTTTTTTGACTCAGGCTTTTTCACTGATTTGGAACTTTCCATGTAGGTAAGGCTTTGTCCTCATCAGCACTAGATTACCAGCCTGGTTTGTTTATTTATTAGTTTATGTGTGGTTCTGGGGATTGAACTCTGGTCTATAGTGAGCTATTTCCCAGCTCTGGTTTTTAATTTTGTCTGAAAGGTCCCCAGTCTAATGCATAACTATATTGTTGCCTCTTGAAGTGCTGTGGGCTGTTTTGCTGTGGTGGTGATTCATTTTCTCACAATTTATCTTTTGGTCCTTCTTTCAGTATTTAAAAAATAGGGTGTGCAAGGAATTTTTGCACACTAGGCCCAGGATTTCAGGACAGAAGGATACATCTTCTGAACTTTCTTAATTGACCCCTTGGGATAACGTACAGAATGCTGTGTGCTGTTCTTTGTACAGAAGATCTAGTTGATATGAGATAATAATTCCATCTGTCTGCTCTGCAGTGTTTCTGTCACTACCAACCTTACTGGTTGTTTTGTTTCTCGTGAGAGTGTGAGTAAGCTACTCAGGGTGGTGTCTGGAATTCTTACTACTTTTTACGTTTCATTGATTATGTGGGGGCGGGCACAGGAGTCACAGTGCACATGGCAGGAGGGAGGGCACACTGGGGAGTCAGGCCCTCCATCTCCCTTTCCACGGGTCCTCACAAACTCGGTTGCCCACATTGTACAGAAGGGCCTTCACCTGTTGAGCCATCTCCCTGGCTCCTGAACACTTTATTTTTAAATCCAAATTTATGAATTAATATTGTATCTGGTTGTAATATCCTTATGTCCAAACACATTTACAAACTGAAATATAAGTATATTTAGCTAAATTACTTTCTTTTATTTCTTCTTTGTGTATCAGGATAGTTTCATCAGGAAGGTGAAGGGGGCGTTGTAAAATCTGTGTAATGAAAGGAGATGCTCAGCCTCGTAGGATGGAGACCTAGAAAACAGGATAGCACAAATTGCTGCCATTTTTTCCTTCAGTGCCCGGTCCTTAATGAGCAGTCAGGATGTCTTGTCACATACATGAAGAGAATGCGTGCTGCTTTCTGTCTTCATAAAGGATGTGCTTCCTTCATGTACTCCGTCTCAGCCCTCATTTTAATCTAGACATGTCATCGAGTTTTTCAGCTATGTAGCAGGAGATTCAGCTTCTCTTGTAATAGTCATCACACAGTTGTGATTTTCACGGGTGTTTTTTTAAAAGGATAACATGACTGGCTGGATGGAGATTCTTCTCTTCCCTTCTCAAGTTTCTGTGCTTTTACATAGCTCGGTTTTTTAAATCCAGGCTCTCCCCCTCTACTCTGCTCTCTCCACCCCAAATGGGGTTGGGGTGTTAGTGAAATAAGGAGCCTTTAAGCACAGGGCAATAAGGTATATTTTAGCTAAAGTCTATCTTGTGACACTCTGGCTTCCGGGTCTCATAACTCAGAAATACTGGTAGAAAACACAGAGAAGACAGAAAACCAAGGCATGGGTTCTTGCCTAGGCCATTGCTGACCACTGTGGGTAAGCTGTGCATCTTTCTGGGTTCTGGTGTTCCCACCCACTCCCCTAACTGTCCTGTCCACCTGTCAGGGTGACTGGCGGGATCAAATAAATGACTGCTACAGGTGTTTTGTAAAAGTGGTAACAGGAGCTCCAACAGATTTTACCCTTATCTCCCAGAAGAACTCTTGTTCATGAACTTAATCCTATAGTTGGCTTCAAGACAATCATTACCAGTGTTAAAAGAACAGGGATTTAGAAGGACAGACACAGTTGGCTAGGTGGGAGGCCATTGAGTAGGGTGGAAATGGCATTCTCACTCCAGGTGCTAGAAGTGAAAATAAGACAGATCTGAGATGCATCAGCAGGGATAGGAAGCCAGTGGAGATTTGGGGGTGAGGGGACATTAGTCTAACAGACTGGGAGCCCAGTGCTCTCAGGCATAACATAGGGAGGAAGTGAAGTGCTTGAATTGAGGTAACCATTTTGAGATGCTGATGCAGTACATGCAGACGTCCAAGGAGGTTTGGAAAGTAGACTTGGAGCTGGTGTCTAGAAATTAGATGAAAGAAGAACTCTGCAGCAAGGATTGTTGAGGGAGGCAATTCAGGGACAAGGATAGGGAGCTTTGAAGAATGAATGTCTGCATTGAAGGGTCTGCTGGGCAGGAACAGCCAACAAAGGCGCTACTGATGCCACGTTGTGTGGCCTGTGACAGTTCTGTTCTGCAGATTATGGGACACAGGAGATGCTGTGGTTTGGCTGTACTTGTGAGCTGATGAGTTATAAAAGAGGTCATTGACATCTAGCAAGCCATTATGTGACCATTAGGTCTTTAGGATCTCTCCCAGAAAAACACAAACTAAAATGAACAAATAAAATCAGTAACAAGTTTTATTTTGTTAAATAGCCTGTAGCAAGGTTTAAAGTAGAATGTTTGTTTTGTTTTTGTTTTTTCTTCAGATTAAGTATTGTTGGCCACTGCTGAAAGAGCAGTTTATGTGCAATAACACTGTACTCACTAATTTTCTTTCTCCGCCCCTTTTTTTTCCTCTCTAGATTTTACATTGTGCTATAGGTAAGTAGACCAACTCCCCTCCACACCTTCTGAATGCATTGAATTGTGCCCTTTAAAGTCATAGATGATTGGCTTGGTTTGATCCTTAAAAGTCAGACCACTTAATTATTATGTAGATAATTGCTCTTTAAAATAGTTTTGTTTTCTTACATAGTAAGTATTATTTTGATGTTGTCACCACATACCATTTTCTGTTGCAGCTCCTTTTCTGTCAGTTTAGGAGGTGTCTCCCTTCTCAGGACAGTAGTAAATAAGTAGGGGTGGTCCCACGTGTTTCTAAGCATGGTTCGGGTTCTGGTGCTGTGCTTTGTTGGAGAATTTCCCTATGATCTGTATATGGATGGTGTCGTGTGTGTTGTAAAGCATAACAGTTTTAACACTTATGTATAGGAGTTCTAAAACAAGCAGATGTGTGCGTGGTTGGTTGGTTGGTTGCTTGCTTGCTTGCTTTTTGTTGGAGAGTAATCACATTTGCTTCCAGTAATGGGACAGATAGACATCTGTTATTAAACACAAGTCAGTTTTAGAAAGTGGACAGGTCCTATAAAGCAAGCAAGCCCACAGGGCTCTAGATTTGTCTGACAAAGGGACAATATAAAGATGCTATTCATTGAAACGTACCAAAAGTCTGAAAACTCGAAAACTGTGACTCCAGTATCTCCCAGTTAGTTTAACTCACAGCAGAAGTGGGCATGGGTACTGTTGTATGTGTAGTATGATTTCTATTAATGTTTGACTGTTTTAATGTTCCAAATTACTTATCTTATTTTAAAATATGTTCCTTCACCTCTTTAAAATTTCTATCTCTGGAAGTAATCACCAGTGGGTTCATTTGTTCATTCATACAAAACAAATAAACCAAAAGTCTCATTAAATTCCTGGTGGGGCGGGGTCTCACCTGCTGCATGAGACAGTGGGGATGAAGAGTGTGCAGTTACAGATGTGGTCCAGGAAAGCCACGCCAGCTGAGTCCTCCGTTCTGTGGCATATTGTGCCCAGAGGACTGCTGTGTATCACTCTCCTGTGTGTTGATACTGTCTCCCCATCAGACTGTGAGCTCCTGGCAGGCCCCTGACACTTGGATAATACTTTCAAAGCCCTTCTTTTTCCTCAAGGACATGTTCCTTCAGTGACAGTACATCATTGTTCTTTGCTACTGTCTGCATTTTTCTTCACAGTTCACAGAATGATCCGGATTCTTTATCTTACTAATAGTGATTTGAGAGGTAAAGGGAAGAGAATCTCTGTGAGTTCCAGGCCAGCCTCAGTTACATAATGAGACCCTATCCAAACAAAAATCCAAGACAATTTTATGTTGACCCTAACCTTTGAGTCTGCAATTTCCTCCTCCTCCTGGATAATTCCTCCTTGTCTCTTCACCTAGATATATGGCTGATTCTTATCCCTCTTCACTACTGTTTATGCCATGTTGTGTGTAAGTGCATACATATACCACAGTGTGCATCTGGAAGTCAAAAGACAAGCTTGACTGAGTCTTGGTCTTTTACCTTGATTAAGGCAGGGTCTGTTGTTTGCCACCACGTGCATTAGCTAGCTGACCCCAGGCTTCCAGGAATTTTTCTGTCTTCTCCCATCTCCCCATATAAGAGCTAAGATTATCTTAGTTTCCTTTGCTGATGCTGTGACAAAATAACCTGACAAAAGCAACTTAAGGAGAGAGGGTTTATTTTGACTTACAGTTATATGCAAATCAAAGCAGAGGAGCCTGAAGCAGCTGGTTACATTGTATCTACAAGTGAGAGGGGAGAGGGAGGTGTGTGTGTGTGTGTGTGTGTGTGTGTGTGTGTGTGTGTGGACACATGTATATTCATATATATAAAGGGAGAGGGAGAGATTCTCTATCAGAGGATCCTGCATGCAGCAGACTTTATTCTTTTAATACCACCCATAGTGGGTTGATAGATAATCCTCTGTAGACAAGCCAAGATGCCCATCTCTCTCTAGATTTTGTCAAGTTGATAACACTCACCATCATAATTGTTGTACTGTCCTGCATTCAGCTTCTTCATGAATTCTTAGAATCTAAACTCCAATCATTTTTTAAAATTAGTTAGCCAGCATCATTAATTCCAGCACCCTGGAAGCAGAGGCAAGCTGATCCCTGTGGGTCTGAGACCATTCTGGTCTACACAGTGAGTTCAGAGACAGCCAGGGCTACATAGGCTGAACTGATTTCAAAACCCAAAATTTTTAAATTAAAATATAATTTTATTATTGCCTCCTTCTCCCATGTTCCCCTGCTCCCTTTCAAATTCATGGCCTCTCTTTAATTGTGTGTGTGTGTGTGTGTGTGTGTGTGTGTGTGTGTGTATATATATATATATCACATATGAAAGTAACTATGTCAATGCAACCTGCTGAGTCTTTTTTAGTGTTGCTTATATGTGTATGTTTTGTATGTTTTTATGGCTGACCACTTGGGATTGGACAATCCTTTTTAGTAGTCTTTAATTGCCTGTAGCTCTTCATCTGGGCATGGGGCCCCATGAGATTTTCCCTGTCCTTGCTCAGCTCTTGCTTAAACAGCCATATTGAGATTCCCTAGGCACAGCTTCCCAGTCACATCTAGAAGATGCAGTCTTGCAGTAGACTCTCTGGTCCTCTGGCTCTTACAGTCTTTCTGCCCACTCTTCCTCAATGTTCCCTGTGCATTGTGGGTAAGGGTTGTTATAATGTAAACACATCAGTTGGGGTTGAGTACCCAGAGACAGTTTTTCTCTGTCTTTTGACTAGTTGTGGCTTTCTGTAATGGTTTCCATGTGCTTTAAAAAGATTCTTTGATGAAGTGTAAGAGATGCACTTAGCTATAGGTATGATGTGAGCTCTGGTCTTGACACTTTGATGGCTGTTGCTTCACTCACTGAATTGTGCTCCAGTTCACTTTGTATTTCTTTTCTTCCATGGCTGCCACTGTCTCCTTGTCCCTTAGAGTGTCCTCGGGTTCTATCCTGGCTCATTGAGCTTCTGACTGAACATGCCCTCTCCAGGCAGTGTCTTCCCGTGCCATGTCTGCCTGTGTCCTGCCATGACATTAATGGACTACACTTCTGAACTGTAAGATAGCCCCAGTTAGATCTTTTCCACTGTAAGAGTTGCCATGATCATGGTTTCTCTTCACAGCAACAGAAGCCTTAACTAAGACAGCTAAGTGTTGAGCTCATTTCTGTGTTGCCCATGTTCTTGTTTCACTATTTCCCTAAAGGCTTTAGTTAAAGGATGGCCTTGAACATGTTGCTTCCTGCTTAAAACCTGTGGTGATGTATTATTTATGATTTATTAAAGTCACTGGAGATCAAAATAGCAAAGCACCCATACTAGTTAGTTATAGAAGCCAGGCGGTAGTGGCACACATCTTTAATCCTACCACTTGGGAGGTAGAGATTGACAGATCTCTGTTAGTTCAAGGCCACACTGAGCTACATAAAATTGATCCATTCCTAAAGAGAAACAGATCACACAAAGATGATCTCAGCACTTGGGATCACACATCTTTAATCCTAGTACTAGGGAGGTTAAAAAAAAAAAAAAGGCAGAGGGTCTCATGTGAAGATTGATTCTCCATACACACTGAGGAGAGACAGCAGTCTAAGGCTTGGTGAGACAGGATCGGCTCTTTCAGCCTGAGGTAGAAGTAAGAGGTAGTGGCTTGGCTGCTTTGCTTCTCTGATCTTCAGCTTGAAGCTTGAACCCTGAACCCTAATATCTGTCTCTGGGTCTTTTATTTATTGTGCCACAAAAACCTTTACTGTTTTTTATTTCTTCATGGTCTGGGCCCTGGCTTCCAGGCCACACTAGGGCAGCTCTAGCTTCTGGCCTTTGCATCTATGCCTGGGCTTTGCCCTCTCCTGGAATAAACAGAACACATGACCAGCTGACTTATTTGTCTCCCTTTCTTTAACTACATCCCCTACTATCCTCTAACTATATGAGGTACTGTTGGTAACTTTCCTGTAAGACCTATTGTTGTGTCCTGTCATTGTATTCTATTTGTAGAATGTATGATTTGTCACTGTGTTTCATGTCTTCCCTATTTGGAAATAGGGTCCCTGTATTTCTGCTCATAACAGTACATACCTATAGTCTCCTAGTGATCATGGGCTTACCAAATCCTAGTGGACTTCCAAAACATATTCCAAAATATTTACAGTTACTTTAAATAAGTAATGATAACAATAAAATATGGTGTATTTTTAGTATTTACCTAAAGGTAACTGTTCAGTTTTTCACTTATAAAACTGCAGTTTTTGGAATAACAATTTATTTTCTTGCCATTCTGGAAGTTTACTACAAGTTTACTAAAGACTTTTAGAGACATACATGCATACATATATACATACATACTACATACATATATATCTTCTAAATTGAAAAATGTGAACCTCAAACAGACTAGGAGTGCTTGTGAGCTGTGTGGCTCCCAGAAGTAATGTAGACATTGTACACCATCATTTCTATCTTAATTAAAGGAGCTAATGACCCTGCCTCACAAGGCTGTGAAAGTCAGACAGGACAGTGCCTAAAGAACACGGAGCATAGTGTCTGCAGTGTGACAGCTTAAATGGCCCAGTCAAGTGATAACTACTACTATTTAATGAGAACAATACATCATAGAGTGTTATATTTTATAATGGCCAGTAGCCAGAATTATATAAATGTTAGGGTGATGGCTCAGTGGGTGAAAACATTCACTATAAAAGTATGAGGATCTGAGTTCAAATCCCTTGCACCCATGTAAAAAGTCAGACATGCCTGTAACCCCAGTATTGAGAGGCAGAGACTGGCAGATCCTGTGTGCATACATCATCACACATATACATACATACATACATACATACATACACACACACACCTACCTTTTTAAGGGCTAGTAAGAAGGCTCAGTGAATAAAAATACTTTCCAGGCAAGCCTGAAGTCTTGTGTTTGATCCCTGGGATCTAGCCAGGAGAGAAGCAATTCTTATCAGTTGTCCTCTGACTGC